AACATCACCTGCCTGAGCTTGTTACATGGAACTAGCTGACTGTGACCCATATTTTACAATTGAGGGCACATGTTCAGCACAGTTGTAAGGAAAGGGTTAGGCTCTCTCCCCATTCAGGGAACTGCATCTCCTGTGACTTGCTGGGTACACACAGGCCTGCAGTGACATCACAGAGAAATGCACCCCTCCCCCCAACAGAACCCTGCTCTCCTGCTAGACTCTTGCTGTTTTTTTTTAAAAGTCAGGTAGGCATGTGACAAGAACATGTGTGTGCATCCCAATAAGCTCATTGCTGCCAGAAAAACTACTCTTAGGGTGTATAAAATAGCAGCTCCAAATAAAAAAAATGAAAGACAATTTCAGCTGAATGACTACTTTAAAAACATTCAGTGAGGTTTGCAAATCATGCTGCTTCTGCTCAAAAAAGCAATAGCTGAGGATTATTACAGGGTGTACAATTCCACATGGCTCTGGCCTGAAACAAAAACACAGGTCCTGCTGCAGATTCGAGAAAACGTTCTTCTCTCTCAACTTTGGAGAAATCCCTTGCTCATCGTTGGCATCATAAATGTAAAATAAGTCATGCTGGCAGCTTCGAATAGACATTGCAGGTGTGCCACTCTGACAAAGGACATCAGAGAGATTGCTACAGGTGCCACAACTGGGTTTCCCATATCTTCTCAGCCTCTGGTAGGTACTACATAATAGCAAATACCACAATGATTAAAGCCCACAAACTGCTGCTGACCTGACGAGCTCCATCAATACAACAAAAACTGTACAGTATAAGAAAAACAGATTTATACAATAATGTGGTTAGAACTTAAGGAGGTTACTTCCCATACCATACACATTTCAGTTGTGCTAACTAACGTGTGCTTGTGAAACCTATTACAAATAATTGGCAGTCCTTTGGGTGGGAAACCTACAATGCGCTTTTTCTTCCCATTTCTTAAGGGAAGAAAACTATTGTAAAGATTAAGAAGTCTCATTTGTAGATGTCATTTTGTAGAGACAACAAAGCCACTTTAACAGACATTGAGTCATATGTAATTCGAAACGGTTCTAAGCATAAATGTTTTAGGGGCTTTCTTTTAGAAAACCACTCCAAATTTATGCAACTACCAGAATGAGGTACTCATTTCATAAAAGGAGGAGATGAAAGTACCATAAAAACCTTACTTCACCTAATGAAAGAGAAAGTAAACAACCACAATTCTCATCTACATTAAAAAATCTGAAATCTTTGTTAATGTTTGCAGTCATGGAAACAACATTCTATATTTTATTGAAAAATGAAAGAAACATAATTGAAATAAGATTCTTCTGACAAAAGCACTAAAAGAAACTACTGTATTACAGATTCCAGAAGAAAATGTTTTGGAGACTAAGCGTACTTGACTTGATATTTGTCATATAATTATTTTATCTGTAGATTCACAGCATAACTGTATTATCAAATTAACGTTATTTTTAATCAAATCAGAATGTAGCATGAGGTTACATAAATTATTTTAATCAATGTTGGAACCAGACTTAATACAGGGGAACTTCCATGAGAATTCTTTAAGAAACTTTTTAGTTTCAGTTATTAGTTAAATCACTCCTGCTCTAGCATAGGTATAAAAATTAAGACTTCTACATGAACCTTCATAAGAATTTATGTAAATAATGCAACCATAGAAAACCCATAACACAAGTGCAGGTAGAAGTGTCTACATTTACCATCAGTATAAACTAGGCTATAATAAATTTAGACCTTGAGCTTAATGTTTGAAACTGTGCTATTGGGCTCCCAACACAATGGTTACTGTTAAACGGTAAAGGATGATATTTATAATAATAATAATAATAATAATAATAATAATAATTGCTTATATTTATATAGCACTTTTCTGGACACTCCACTCAAAGTGCTTTACAGGTAATGGGGACTCCCCTCCACCACCACCAATGTGCAGCATCCACCTGGATGATACGACGGCAGCCATAGTGCGCCAGAACACTCACCACACACCAGCTATCAGTGAGGAGGAGAGCAGAGTAATGTAGCCAATTCATAGATTATCAGGAGGCCATGATTGGTAAGGGCCAATGGGAAATTTTGCCAGGACGCCGGGGTTACTCTACGGCCCTACTCGTTTTGAGAAACGCCCTGGGATTTTTTATGACCACAGAGAGTCAGGACCTTGGTTTTAAGTCTCATCTGAAGGACGGCGCCGCCTGTTTACACTATAGTGTCCCCATCACTATACTGGGCCATTAGGACCCACATGGACGGCAGGGTATAAACCATTTAAACCTGGTATAATCCTATAACAAAGCAAAGTGTTTTAAGTTGGGTAAAGTTAAATCATGGCTCTAAAAACAAAGCATTGCACCAATAAATGAAGATGCTAAGATCTATCATCTAGCCCACCACTATATATTAAAAACCATCTCCTTTCTGAGTTTGTAACTCACAGCTTAGACCAAGCCCAAAAAGTATGGTGCAGAATCACACAGATAAAAAAAGAATGAAATCAAAAGTATCCAATATCTACCTGATGCTTCCCACTGAAAAGAGGGAGGGACACACTTTGTCATTGAACAGGTGTTTCAGGAAGCATATTTCCATAAGCTATTTCAGGAAACACGAATTATTTAATTCTGGTTAATTATTTCTCACCAGAAGCTTTAGACAGGACTTTGTATTCCCTGCTTGGCAAAGCTAACTCTTCAATGAAGGAAGGAATGAGGATTCGGAGAGCCATTTGAGCACTGCAAATGAGCCTTGCACTGCAGTAAGGCTTCTTAAAATTGAGAAAGTTGGCAATGACAAGACCTTTCCATTTCATCAAACCATGTCTCCTTCAATTGACCCATGATTGTCTGCCATGTACAACCTTTTCCTGCAAATCTGAATTAATCTGAATTTGTATGCCCCTAACATTTTACCTTAACATAATTAACTTAATAAACTTATGGCTTGTACTTCCATGGATGTTTTTATCGGGACCCAGAAGTACTTTGCATATAGGAAGGGACTTCATACACCAGTGAAGGGCAGTGACTGTCTAACAGATAAGTGACAGCAGCCCCAATGTACAGATCAGGTGGTTAAGTAAGGAATTGCTTCACCACTTAGTTAAGTGAGGTCAGGCTTTGCAAGCCCCTAGTAGAATTCACCAGGACTCGGCTTAACACCACTACTGCTACAGACAATTCCATGGGATCTTTAATGATCATATAGTTAGAACATCTCATCTATACACTGTACCACCTGTACAAGACCTTTCCATTTCATTAAACCGTGTCTCCTTCATTTGACCCATGATTGTCTGCCATGTACAACCTCTTCCTGCAAATCTGAATTAAGCCAGCTGGCAAATTGAACATTTTAAAGATAACACCATCAGACTGAAAATAAGTACAGTATTATGGCAACTTTAACCTGTTGTTCGGTAGTGTATAATAAAGAATTTTATTTTTGTACTACATATCAACATTTGTTCATCTTGTCCAGATCTGCATCAGTTATCATTCCTCCTCTTTAGAAACACTGCATACTCATTTCAATACCAAAATGAACACCTATCGTGCACATGTTGTAAAACTGTAAACCATAATTACAGTACCATAATTATTGTCATTTAAACTTTGAAGTAAAAAGGTGGGCTTTTCTTCTTTTGTTCTAATGAGAGGCTCAAAATGCATTTACTAAACATTAATCCTGAAGGCAAGCTGCATGCTGTACAGAGGTAAAGAAAGAAAAGGTGACTTCTCAGAAGTCAGAAGAATTATTTTGTAAAAACTACTGGCATGTTAAAGCTTCCTGATTTTTTCAAGTTTGATAGCACTGATAGTGTCACAAAGACTTACCTCATGGCACCCATAGGAAAATACATTAAAATGTTCAAAAACCTTTTAATTACAGTGACGGTCTTGAATTTCTTCTTTATCATTTAAAAGGACTGTGGGTCTTTGCGTTCATGAAGTAGATTAAATACTAATCAAACAATATAATCATGTTTACACAAATAGAAAAAAAAAAGGCTTCCCATAACCACACATTCTGCTTTACATATGGAACAACCACTCATACAGTATAGGAAAATCAGTTGCTTTAGCGTCACAGAGCTTCGTGCATTTAAAATCAGATTGTACCCCTACTACAGGTATATAACTTCAAGCACCTTTCATAATTCACTTTCCTAAAGGGTGTCGTATAAAACTTCTAAATAGCCTGATTTTAAGTTTAGTGGTTTCATTGAAAACCACTAAAGTTTTGTACTTTGACCAAAAAATGGTTTTAAAACTGTACTTCTGATATGTGCAAGGAATGCAACTGTAAATGAATACTACACACACATCAAATACGACATGGTACAGTACTGCATGTAAGTCTACACCTGTCGGCAGGGATGGGATAACTTCAAGCACTATCACTTTCAACATATCCGTCTATATGAACGTCAGAAGGCACAAGATTTCCTAAAAATAAACAAGGAACTAAAGAATCTTTATTACTTACATTTTAAGTTTCCGCGTAATGGAACAACTTGATAAACAAAGAGGCTGCACTAGCTCCTGACAGCGTATTGACAATCTAACATTGGGCTATGAAGCTTGTGTCTGGAGATGCACAAATCTCAGACTTTACAGATTCCTTTCTTCTACAGTACACCAAGCATTATAGTTCGGGACAAAATGACGCACAGTGATTAAAGCAAATGAAAATACAAGCATGCTCAACCACTTCTTGCATATTTCGCTTGCATATTTTCCCCGATTTTAGACTTTCAAACTGCAGATGCGTATCGGAAATGGACTAAAGCTATAAAGTCATTTTACAGTACATATTAACTGAAAGAAATGCAAGTATCGCCACTGCACAAGCAAAATGCCATTAGTAAGAAATGTGCGGCGATCTACAGCCAACACGCACGGGACCTAGAAATCACGACACGGCACAAACAGCTGTAGATTGATGTGTTGTAGAAGTAAATTTCATCTCTTACTTTTCAGGGCTTGAATAAGCGCTTTCCCGTCTTTGATCAGCTCCTTGATGAACTTGTTAGTCTTCTCCAGTTCCAGCTCATGAGATTTCAATCTCTCTCGAAATTGTGGACTATCTAAATGACAGTCACTAAACTCCAAAGCGGGCAGTCCCATGTTTCTTCCGAAGCAACAGCACGAACAATGCGAGTACGAAGAAATCTTGGACTGATGGAGCGAAATCCAAGCACTGGAGCAATCAAAAAGCAAAACGATAAACGTCCACCAAGTTCTTGGAGGGAACTGCTATCCTATACTGCTATCCGATGCCCATGTAGTTTTAATTTAAAACTAAAACCCATAAAATAAATTAAAATAAAAAAATAATTTAGGACATTTCTTTCATTAAAACGAAGTAATGCAAGCGCGATAACTGTCAAGGATCCACAGATCCAGCAAACTACTGGGCATTTCCAATGACAAAGTCATGCTTTCAAGAAATGTCCCGCGGTAGTTGCGGAATCTTCTCCGGGTTTTTAACAGCAGCCCATCAGCGCTGTTACAGTGTCCGCACCAACCTACCCTGAAACATTTAATCTAATGATGGACGAACATTGCAACCAATCGCGTAGACATATTCGGAACAGTTAGCACATGCTTGTTGCCCTATCCGTTATCATTCAAGGGAGTGGAAAGAAAGTTTGGTTGGTCGAGAGATCTGACGCATTTTAAGGGCGGTATAAATCGGACGTCACTTTTCATTTTAAAGGGGAATCACAGATTTCTCTTTCATCTTTATTTCTTAATTACTTTAATAAATTTCGCTGTTTTGTTCGACTCCTTAATTCTGTCGCGTTAATATATCGCCCTATAGTAGTGGTTCGGTCTCTGAACTAATCACGGGAGAATTATGTGCTACAATTTATTTAATTTCTAAAAGTAGCAAAGAGTTTCATTTGCTTTATGTTCAATACTTGCATAGTATAATACTAAATAATACAGATTCAAACTTATTTAATACTATGATTTTACAGTAACAGGAAACTAAACATCACATTCGTCATTTGAATATCGAAAAAGTCCAAAGACCTTTGTACTGTATGCGCCTAAGATTTTACCTTAACATAATTAACTTAATAAACTTATGGCTTGTACTTCCATGGATGTTTTTATCAGGACCCAGAAGTACTTTGCATATAGGAAGGGACTTCATACACCAGTGAAGGGCAGTGATCGTCTAACAGATAAGTGACAGCAGCCCCACTGTACAGATCAGGTGGTTAAGTGAGGAATTGCTTCACCACTTAGTTAAGTGGGGTCAGGCTTTGCAAGCCCCTAGTGGAATTCACCAGGACTCAGCTTAACACCACTACTGCTACAGACAATTCCATGGGATCTTTAATGGTCATATAGTTAGAACATCTCATCTATGCACTGTACTCCTATTGAATAGTTCATCCATCCCAGTACAGGCCCAGCCTTGCTTAATAAGAGATGGATCAGGCTAGAAGATGGAAATACTGCTTTAGTAACTTACACAGCAGAGTGGACAAAGGTATGAATCATGATACATGTGAACTTTACATCCAATTCAATATAAATCAGTCAGCCCTTTGCTACTCCAGCAACAACCTGTTTGTCTGTAATAGTCATTGATACCAGTACTGGCTAGGCCTTCCTTTGCTTCTGAGATCTGACAAGATCAGGCTGCTAGGCGATGACATTGCCGTGAAACACTGGATTCAGTTTGGTGTTTCTCTGAGGAGGACAGAGGAACTACTGTACCACATCAGTCCAAAAGAAGGGAAAAAACATAAGGAAAAAAATGTCAGGCTAATTCCTCTTGAGAAAACAAATTGTCACTTTTATTTAATTTCAAAATAAACTGCTTCAGTCAAAGGTCAAAATGTGCAACAAAATTCACTGCTACTGACAGTTTTCCAGAAAGGAATATGCAAATGAAAAGTACATTTCGGTAAGTCCCGGGACTCACAGTTCATCTTATAGAGGCAATGTATTCTTAATTAATTTACCGATAATGAGGCTGTTTGGTTCTGATAAAATAGTCCTATTGCTAATAACAAATTTAAGGCTAATAGTTTGTGAGAGTACACAAGTGTTTTGCTGCAAAAATGCTTGACTGTTTGACCCGCTAATACAGATAATCCTTTAGCAGTAGCTAAAATGTCTGATTTGCTAATGATATGTTATTCCTCAACTTTAATCAAGTCTTTATGCCATTCATCTGTGAATTACACTACTTTGTTCATATGTACACAAAATCTAAATGAAAAAAATGACAATTTGACATATTTGCAATGCAGGATTATTCCACAATTTGGACTAACAACAAAGTATGCATAAAACTGGACAGTTTGGTTTTCTTCAAGTTAGTAAGCACTTGTTACTTTTAAAACCTTCAGATAGAAGGCTGCCAGTCATAGGGTAGGTCAGTCTATTATTATTCAAACTTAATTCATTTGAGCACATAGAGCTTTCAGACATTGCCTAGTCTCATTAAGAAGGACTGTGAAATGAAGTCAATTGCTTGGGATTTGGGGTTGAATTTTAACATATTCTGTCAGTTTCTGGAACTAACACTCAACACTTTCAAGGGATTTTCAAAAGGAGGTGTGAATAAAAACAAATAGTATTAAGATTTTTCTGGAAATTATGCATGGGCACATTTCAGCTAATCTGGAGCCATTGATTATGCAGTGATTTTCCTTTGTAAAACCTTGCACAATGGGCAGTAGATCAGTGCTTTTGACATTAAAAGTGAAAGAAGCTGACACCCAGTAAGAATGTGCCAATCGTACATTATTCCGGGAAAGTCAATAAATACACTGTGAAGTCTGGGGTCCCAAGAAAACTCTTCACATGTATAGCTTTGAATATCGATCAAAAGTGCACACAGTTTATCATCATCAGATAGGGTTTTCAGCTGTACAGTTTTTGACTAAAGTATCCAAACAAAGTTTCTCCGGAAATTGAGAAGGGGGTGACACTGAAAACAAAATGGAAACGCAAGGCAAACACTGAAACATTAAATACTAAATGCCCATCTTTACCCCCTTGTAGTCAAAAATGTTGTGAGGGGGACCCATATGCACAAAGTCTAGTTTGGTAGAACTGAAAATGTTGCAGCCCCACCAGCAGACAATCTATTAAAGGGCAGATATTGAGCATTCTCTCTGGATCCGAGAGAATCTTTTATATCTAAAGCTCTAAAAAGAGCTGTGTTAAACTGTGCTACTACATATATTATATAAATAAATGCATATACAGTGTCTGCTGTGTGGTTTGGTGAGGCATGCACTTGCATCTTTAAACTTAGACCTGTTTCCTGGGGAGCTATTACAGACCTCATCTTGAAAAACAAAGACTCTAAAATGACTGTATCTTGCAATACAGTCCTTGTTGTCATGAGGTCAGATTAGAACCTACAAGCAAAACCTTGGCATTTTTGTGTTATTTCAATGATTATGTTATTTCAAATATTTGATTTGAAAGACTTGCATTACACTCTTGCACTAGTGCCACATCCTTCTTGATGATTTTCATGCCACATGATGATGGAAAAAAGTGTTTGGGGTTATTAAATGTTATCTTGGGTTTATATTCAAGTAGCTAACAACATGGGAAATTGTGTAACTCCAGTTCAGACTTTTTCCAGACTGGGACTCAAGTCATTGGTAATCACTGAAATGTGAGAAAATTACCACTGGCCAGTGCTCAAAAAATGTCCTGGAGCCCTACTGAACCAGATCTCTGCAATACTGCCATCGATGTCAATAGTTAGCTGATCTGATGTGTGTCCTGTGAAGTAAAATTATTCACTTATACTATACAACTCATTTGTTATGAAGACTTTAAGGTAAAGAATTAAAAAGGAGATTTTTTTTCTTGCATCACTAGCAAAACTTGAGATATGACAAGAGATGTCAACAGCAGCTGCAGTACATGTTCCTTAGGGTTATATATTGAAGTTACTTAAGATGCAATTTCCTTTAATAAATTGACTTTATTTCCTCCCTTTGTGTCACCAGAGCCTTTTATTTTTTTAATGTCTAATGTTTTAGAACAGCAGTGTCAGCCTAGATATGAATAGACAGAGCCAAGGCAAAAAAAAGCAATAACTTTGCAAGCTTTGAGTCAGTCTACTATCATCACCATTGTCCTGTTAAATTAAATTTATAATCCTTCAGCATAATTCTGTAATGAAACTTAAGGTTTGTTTGGCAGTATGAAGTTAGTTAGACTTCACAGCGGATTATAAAGACAGTCCACGGGCCAGATCTTGCGATCATACCTTTAATATTTGACTAATCCAATCCAGATGTTTTATCTCTAAAGGAAGAGGGAAAAGAAATTCAAGTTGATGCACTGGACATGCTTCTGTGAGATGTTCAGTCAGAGGCACTCCTTCAGCCCTCTGTGACGCTCAAATGATGCAGTGATTGCCTGGGCCAGAGATAGACGTCTCTGGTTCTCTGGGGCTTCCAGGTCTCCTTGATTTATTTCCACAGCTCATAATTAAATTTTACCAGTTATTTCCTGAACTGGATCAGTTAGAAACTTTCACAGATTTTATCTACAATGCCTGCTGTATGTAATCCCTTGATGAGCAGGCTGATGAGTCCTTAGTTTAATCTTCATGGTCACTACTGTATCAAAAGCACTACAATGTCTGATGATTTAGCAGCTTAATTTTGTACCTTATACAACATGGTGACAGCCAGCTTTTTGGCTTATTTATAGCCTGTTGGGATGTCTGTGTAAAGCTTGCGTGTTCTCCCTGTGAATACATGGGTTTTTAGATGGGTGCACCAAATTCATCCTAGCTAGGGTAAAGGGTATCTGCCCCCCGTGTGTGTATACCCTGCAATGATCAGTTTGCATTCATAGTGCATCCAGGGTGTATTCTACCTCCTGGCTAACAGTGAACCTGGTTTCAAAATGTTTGGTCCAACCAGTAATTGAAACTCACCTTGATTATTATAGACTCCGCTGCTTTGGTAAATGTTACATCAATGTCAGCTATCAAAAATTCTAAAGTAATTAAGTAAAAATAAAAAACACCATTCTTAATCTTCTGTTATGCACAAGAATTTGAACTAAAATGCAATATTACATTTGTGCTATAAAATGTAATCATTGTACATGTTTATGAACACAAAAATGATGCACATTTTATTCCAAACCTACAGAAATTGTGCAGCTTATATTGGATTTCCTCCCATTTTTATAATAGTGTACATCATAAGCATAACTTTCTATATATATTGGGGTCTGTACGTTTATAAAGAGATGTGTCCTCCACAGAATGTATTAATTCTACTAATGTAAGGGTATAGACATATTTGATTGTGTAGAGATGTTTTATTGTTACTGTAATATTATTTTGTTGATTAATGCAAGTAAGCAGCACAAAGACAGAGCTGCTTCTACAGAGCCCCTAGAGAAGTACAAATTCTAATAGTTGTCAAACACAAATTATTGTCGCTATGGTGATCCATAAAAAATATTCCTCTTAAATTAAAATGTGCCAGCTATCAGGAGTAGACTGGCTCTGTTTGTCTAAAGCCTGTTTGTTTTATATTTGGACAAAAATAGGCTTTTTCTATGGTTAATAAAATTGTGACCTGCAAGAGGCCTGCAAGAGTCAGGATCCATCAGGGAATTCTTTCACTTCCCACTTTGTAAAAGTTGGATCATTTTAGCTTCTCCCCCAAGGGCATTACGAAGGAAAACTCATTAAAAATCTCAAATCTGCATTCCAATCAGAGTTTACGGGGAGATTTCTGTCAGGTAGCAAAAGATCATTGCATGTGCTTTGAACCAGTTTTTACTGGTAGTCTCCTTGCTAAGATGAGCATTGCAGACTGGGCTGTGTCCTAGCATGCCCAAGGTGATACCTGTGAAGGACAGTGCTAAACCCCCCTCTCTGTGTCTTTCTTAAACTAAACTTATTTTCTATTTTAATATTAAAAATATATAGTTTTTTAACATTTATATAGTTTTTTAGTCAGTGGCAAAGCCCAGTCCTGGTATAACCAACATGTTATGCAACAGAGGAATATCAGGAGAAGGAAAAGCACGATACTGAGCCAAATGCAATAAAAATGGGAAAGCAGTTTGTGGCTTCACAAGGCTAGGTTATCTGTGGTCTGATTTAAGGTAGGCAAACGTCTATAGTGACTCAAACCCAAGGTGAGATAGTATCCGATCAGTTCAGAGGTGAGGTGATAAGGACTTCTGGTGAAGAGAGATCTAGAAAAGCCATGAATTAAATAGGTAAGTTTTACATTGGTACCTTAGTCAACTTAAACTCAGGCCCATACAGAACCATCTAATTTGACAGTACACACATTTGATTAATTCTTGTTCAATTTTAAAATTGTGGTAATAGAATCACCTGGAAGAAAATGTGTGCTGCACAGCGCTGAGCTGTGATGGAAATTCCTTTTTCAACAAGTATTAACAGTAAGATGCTTAGCCAAGCTTGAACAAAGTGTGGTCAATATCGCCATCTGGCGTTAAACAAGTATACTACAGCTTTTTATATGCTAGTTTCCCAGGAAATCAAGTTCCTTTTTTCAATGAAAAACATTTTTCACATTGAAGAAACAGATGGCCTAATATTTCGTTTTTCTCATTATCTCAACAAAATTGAAACTGAAGCTGGGGTTGTGGTAAACCTAGCTTTAGGATCAGAAATGCCAACTAACTTTAAGTGAATTAGTGTTACAGTTGTATTTAATAACAATAATAATTGTTTACACTTACTGTATATAGCACTTTTCTGGACACTCCACTCAAAGCACTTTACTGGTAATGGGGACTCTCCTCCACCACCACCAATGTGCAGCACCACCTGGATGATGCAACGGCAACCATAGTACACCAGTATGCTCACCACACATCAGCTATCACTGGGGAGGAGAACAGAGTGATGAAGCCAATTCATAGATGAGGATTATTAGAAGGTCATGACTGGTAAAGACAGAGGGGAAATTTGTCCAGGACACCAGGGTTACACCCCTACTCTTTTCGAGAAATGCCCTGGGATTTTTAATGACAACAGAGAGTCAGGACCTTGGTTTTACATCTTATCCAAAGGACAGTGCCTTTTTACAGTATAGTGTCACTATACTGGAGCATTAGGACCCACATAGACCGAAGTGTGAGACCCATTGCTGGCCCCACTAACACCTCTTCCAGCAGCAACGTTAGTTTTTCCCAGGAGGTCTCCCATCCAGGTTTCAGTGGATTGCCAGATTGAGTTGCAGGGTGACAAGGCTGCAGGCAATTTTAAATGCTTAAATTAAAATGCAATCCAGACTGGTTTTCATAATTGATGTTGAAATAGGCCTAATCTGGGGCTGGCTCTTCTTTGGCCTGAAACTAAACAAGCTCACAAAAAGCTCTAGGTTAGGAAAGCTCTAGGTTAGGATATATGTGGTGATTTACTGTATGCCACATGTACTGTACATGAACCTAACTAGAACAATACACTCATTCACTAGAACAATACATTCACCACTAACTTTTAACTCAGTGTTGCGGTGCTATGTAACATGTTCACATTAAAAGAGGGTGTGGTCTAAGATGAGTTTTGCTCAAGCATTGACACAGACTATGCAATGAAAATTAGACCAGCCACTTTGGGGTTCTGACGCTTTTTGAGGTTCATACTAAACCTGTCCCACATGCAAGCCCACAAAATAATCAAGGCAGGACTAACATATCACACCAGTTTACAGTATATACAAAATCCTAGTTAAAAGCCAAATGTTGCTTTCTCACTCCTTTAACTTTAAAATTCTAATTCTAATCTAGAAATTCAAATCCTAACCATAGCACAGACCCTGTTTGATCTGAAACTTTAACATTGAAAAACTCAGTTGATTCCTCAGATCATGAATAATTGGACAAAAAATGTTTGCCAAACATGTAATATGATTTGTGAATGTATAGTTCTTAAAGGCTCCTGTAGACTATACAAAAGAAACTGCAGGAGGATTATAACCATCATAGAAAGACTTGAAAACAGGAAAGAAATGAAATTACTGAAGAACTTTATGATGCATGGTATCTATTAAAACCTTTCTCGGTGGTTTAAAAATGCTTCACTTCCTCATCCTTCTTCCTTATTTTCTGCTATCAAAAGGCTGACAACTTCAATCACTCCCACGCCTCTCTCACTTCCATGTCTTTTTAAATGAATCTGGGTGTTGCCTTTAAAGATCAAGCTTTTAACATGTATATTTAAAAAAATACTTGTAAGAAACCTGTTTTTGGAAATATCTGAGTTGAACAGACATCAAAAACTTGACTCAGAGTAAAGAGTTGTTAAATGGGTTTTTTTGCATCACTGCTTGTTAATTTTGTATTAATAACAAAATACATTACATTATTTTAAAATGACAGATTTGTTAACAATCACCTTTAAATACTGATTTATTAAGGCTCTGCTTTTAAAGTTACTTTTGAACCAATGTATGCAGTAGGGCTCATTTACTGAAACAGTCTGCTCAGCAATACAATAGTGGGGTCTTTTTGCTAAGTCCGGAGAAAAACAAACATAAATATATAATGTAGTAATCAGTGTCTGTCGCTATGTTCTACCTGTCAATAAAACATAATAAACTTGTTTCACAGATACTGTTTCTCAATGACAAGACAGACTATTCCCATAACAACAAGAAAAAGTGAGTTGCTAGGTTGTATTAGTTATTTTTGTTTTTAATTAACTAAATAAATAATCTTACCAGTCTCCACAACTTCATAATTTGCAACCTCTCCCAAAGTCTTACTTTCTGGCAAGTGATTTACAGGTGCTGCCAAGTTTTGACATCTTAGCTCCACTTTTCAGAGACTCGTCCCATAACGCACTTGCATAACAAGTACACTGTAAAGAGCTAGGTGGAGACTGTTCTTTCCCTTGTTTTCATTGCTGCATGTGTGTGTTTTTCTACTTCCATAGAAGCAAGGTCTCTTTTTCCATTTGGTATATTAAAAAGAGCATTGGAAACCCACAAAATAACCTAAAAAGGTGAGTAAGATACTGTAGACTGTCCTCACATGTTCTTCCTTAAGTAAGATTTTGCATGCTTTTTCATGTTCATAGTGATCTAAGAGGAAAGTGATGCATTCTGTTCAAAATGATTTCTTCAGGTCTAGCCAACTGGTTTGTGATCATCCTTAGGCAAAAATAATGACATAAGATTAGATAAAATTGCAAATATAGGCCTATGACACAGCATGGTGGAGTGAAACGATATCCTCATTGATAGTGGGTGAGACATACTGTATAGGCAGTAACAATCCAGGATGCCATGCACTTTCAAGCTCAAAGTGGAGAAGGCATTCACAGAAAAAAATGTTTGGACAAGACTGAAAAGAGTGGGTAAGTAGGCCTCTTAAAACATTTTCCATTGCTGTATAACCCTTATTATAACGTGTTTATAGCTTTGCTAGGTTTAGTGTAGGAAGTTATGCAGTACTGTGTGAATAGTGGTGTCTTCAGGCAAACATATGGAATTGAAATGTCTCCTCAACATCCATTAGAGATACTGTATTCAGGAAGTGAAACAGGCATCTCTTTTAACCTCTGACACACTCCTGCCAGATCTGTTTTTCAAAGTTTATTGAGAGGATAAAACCCTTTGAGATGTATCATCTCGTTTTCAAGAACATCCTGTTAGAATACATAACTAATACTTATACAAAAATAGATCAAATACAACATAAATATCACAAAAAGAAGGGGAAAAGGAAATAAAAATACAAACTATATAGCTGCTGCAAAAGGTATCTGAAATACAAAAATGTGAAAATTAGTAAGAGTATAATTATTTCTATTACAAGAACATTCTATACAGATTTTGTCTTTTTAATTAGTATTTTAAATGAATTTGTTTTTAATTACACAAATTAAACTGTGAATTTAGTTTAGGTTTAGGATGTAGAGAAATTAGCAAATTACAAGCTGCAATAAAAGGCCATACATGAAATGAAATGTAGAGTACTAAATCAATGTATTCATTTCTGTGGTGTTACCTTTTGAACACAATGTTAAAGAAGAAGCCTTTTTAGAAAAAATATATGATCATTTCACAGCAAAATTCTACTCCCAGGACATGTACTGTGCTATTTCAGTAAGCAGGCATTTCTTATCTTTATTATTTCTTTTCAGTAAGTCTCTGTTACATAGGATATGGAGGAAAAGTTATGTTTGCTGGGCTGGAAAGAGATAATGATGTTATTAGGCATCCATCATGAAATACAATTTAATTCTAAGAAATATTCCCTCTTAATCTGAGAACTATTCTAGTGCTTCCCAGATATGGAGGCTGGCCTGGGTTTTTAAAGAGTAGTGGTTTCTAATGATAACTCAGACATCTGGCTGCTGTTCTCCTGTCCATCTCCATTTAATTTAAAGGAACCTTGTACAACAGCTGTAGACAGCTGTAACACCAAAGTTCCCCAGATGCTTGTTTTTGGTCTTTTCTCTTCTTTGGACTACAGAATAGTGGCATATTGTGCTGATTTTCTTTTATTAGGGAATTAAGGAATTAAGTTCATATTCCATCATGAACACATTGTAAACATTATTTTGATAATGTCAATTGTTTTGTTGAAACTCTGAAAAGTAATTCTCAAAAATACATAAAAACATTAGTAATGTTCTGTAGGTCCCATCTAATACTAAAAATAGTACCGCTAATACGTTGCCATTGTTGTGCATTCACACAGTAAGAAATTCTGTTTATATTTTCCGTTTTCAGAGTACTTTTTTATAATCAATTCATTGTACTGTATTTAAAGAAAATGGGTGAAATCATGTCAGAGTCCTTGGAGAATCTTCAAAAGGGAACAGTAAAAACTCTACTGCCATACTAAAATCAATTATTGTATTACCCTAGACTACACTTAAATCAAGTGCGCATTTTCTTCTATGTCATTTTGCAATTCCACAATGCTGTTTTATATATGTGTGAAATTCTAAGGGGACAGCCAAAAGTAGCATTTTTGTGAGAAACGTTTGGTCGGGGATAGAAAATAACAATGGCTGAAACAGTGGGTTAGGAAATTACAAAAATGATCGCAGGACCGGTATGTCATGTTTTGTTTTTTGTTTTAATTTCTTTTAGGAAAACAAGCCAGCACATGTTCAGACACAGACCCTTACCCCAGTTCTGTTGATTCCTTCGTAACATATTTAACATTTGCTGGATCATTGTTTATTTAATTAGAGAGAGAGAGATTACGGATTTATAAACACGGGAGTGGTTACTGGCCTTTAGTAAATAATGGTGTTTCTTACCCTAATTCGCTGTAAAACGAGACGACAATCTGTACTCCCTCTTCACAGACAATGGTATGTGCCTGCTGACTGCCTTTCAAGCGTGAGGGCACTCGGTGAGACCTGGGACCAAGCAGCAAACCGCAACATGACGGAAGGCAAAGTAACGGTGTTCTCACTGCAGCCTGAAAAATTTGACCTTGACCTGCAGAATTACAAGAAACCTAGGCTGCTGTACTGTATGAATGGTGGTTACTTTCTTCAGATACTCCAGGGAGGACAAGTGGAAGGCGACAGAGAAAAGAATAACAAATACAGTAAGGACGAGAAAATCCGTTTATAAAGAAATGCCTTTTAAAGATGGATATACGAAACGAATGTCTAGACATAGATGCATTTTAGAACAGATAACATTTGCAATGTAAAAAGAAAAAGGAAGTTAGGCAAGGAGTAGTCTGTTACTCCTTTTTCATTCTGGGGGGAGGCGTTTTATCCAAAACATTGGCAAAGTTTCTAGAAATTCACAAACCGAAAGGAAGGATTTATCTTTTTTTATCAGTTACAAAATAGAACCATAAGTAATAAATTGTTCAGATTACCTGATAAGAGTACTGCTTCACATAACTACTAGGTTAAAATGAAGCGACACGCACAACGCTGTTTGTGATCTGGGAGAGATAAAGATTTTCGGTCATGTTTTTTTTTTTAATCTGAAGGTGGGTTTAACAACTTGTTTCCATTACATTTTTCATCTTTGCAAATAACTATTTCCTGTCAAGATAACTGAGAATTCTGTGAAATTACTGAAGTATATAAACAAGGAGGAAGATGTTCTCTGATATGTTTGTGTATTTTTCACATAATGGATTTACTGTGTAACACGCAGTGGAGTTAAAACCTAAAATAAACACTGCGCTGATTATTTCTTCCCTATAATTGTTTGAACCCACCCTGACTATTATTACTTAGACAAGAACATGTAAAATTTCTAGGATTAGTTTTAATTCCTAAAATTGTTGAAAGAGCAACAGTGAATGGCTGGGTTGAGCCTATCACTTTTTTCAATTTCCCAGGAGCTTCCCAGAACACTGATTCTGGGAATTCTAAAAATATGTCCCTCTTGCGCTTCATGTAATCCCAGTAATCGTTCGAGAATTTAACTTTCTATTTCCGCGCAGATGAGCTGCAGGTCCAAGCAGTGAGCGTGGGAGTGGTGTATATAAAGGGAACCGAAGCCGGGCAATACTTAGCAATGAGCACAGGTGGACAGCTGTATGGCTCGGTAAGTGCGTCCTTGTTACTGGGAGATGTAGAGCAGCCTGCTGTCACTCCACTGATGTGCGTTACCAAAATTCTTAAACGTGTACTTATGTGTTCCTGTTTTGTTTTTCTCATTTTTAGCGGACACTAACAGATGAATGCCTCTTTGTTGAAACCATCGAAGAAAACCACTACAACACGTACAAATCTCAAAAGTACCAAGACCGGAACTGGTACGTGGGGATCAAGAAAAATGGGCACCCCAAGGCAGGAGCGAGGACTCGCATTGGTCAGAAGGCTGTTTATTTCCTGCCTCTGTCTGTAGACGACAGTTAGTCCCGGAGAATGCCTAGAGAAGGTTTTCCATACCCGTTTGTGCTGCTGATTTGTATTTTGCTCTAATTGTGTTCTTAACCTTGCAGTTATAATTTACAATTAGACCTTTAATTGTTCAACACAATACAATATATAGTACACAATTAAATGATTCTTACTTTTCTGTATCATGACGGACGTGAAGAGCGATCAAGAGGTTTTTCAGGAGTGAATCGTTTTATTTTTTTTAACAACGTAATTATTCTCTTTTCTTACATTGAGAAACATTGGGTATTTTTAAGAGATGTGAATGGATGACAGGACGGGGGGGAATGGGACGAATATGAAACGTGATAGTGTAGCGCCCTCGCGGGGTGACGAAGCGGAGGAGCACCCGGCAAATGCATGTGCCGCAGTTCCTCCCTGGAAGGGCCATCTCCCGTTGCGCTGCTTTGGGGAAGGAAAGGTAGCCCAGGCGGACGAGGTGGCTTATATCCGCGGCGACAGGGCCCAGTTGCTGCCGCCGCAGAGCCAGCCTCTCTCGCATCACCTCTGGTGCAGACGGAGAGCCGCTGTCAGCGGCGTGTAGTCACGTCGTCGGGCGATGGGGATGTCGAGGAGCGCCTCGCAGGCTCTTCTCTCCAGCGCCGAAACCAGGTGGCTGAGCCAGTCGCTCAGGCTCCGCTGGAGGACCATGCTTGGCAGCCCTTCAAAGGGCTGTGGCGCCAGGGAGTTGCTCAGCCTCCCGACGTTCGCTGTTGCTCGCTCCCAGAAAGCCCTCCACGAACTCGCTCATCTTCGGAGTCAGTGGGCCTTTCGCAGAGGCTGGAAGACGGTGCCGATCGTTGTTCATCTCATCCCACAGCTCACCCCAGCGGACGTGGGGCTCGGGCGAAATTAAGACAACGTTCTCGATGGCACACAAACTTTCTTTATTAACAGCGCTTCGTCAGCCAGCAGTTAGGCAACAGAAACAGTAGTTACCAACCGCCTTAACGCACACAAGGGTAATAAATGGACCACGTACACAGTTTAGGGTTGTTACAAGAGAAAGGGGCAAAACAGGAGTAAACAAACATCTGCAATTTACATAGGGAAAGTGACCTAGTGGTCACTCTGTGGACACTCAGACTCCTGGCTACAGTTCACAGCCAGCACCGCGGCGCCTCCGCTTCGTCACCCAACGAGGGCGCTACAATGCTATTTTGTGCTGCTTTGGCAACTGTTTTTGACGGTTACAAGATTGTAAAATGTATATTTAACTGAAGCATTCAGAATTTTTTAATTGCTTTTATTTCTTTTAGTTAACAAATATAACATATCTATCAACTGTCATCTGTGCCTGTTTCTGTGACTTTAAATGTACACAGTACATTCTAAATCAATATATTCTAATTGTTATTATTTTATTCATCTGGATGAGCTACGGTTAGTAGTATAACCTGCTGGGGAATACACCCTGTTCCAGTTTGATTTGAATATGAGCCATGCCGGTGATTTAGAAACCACATACCTTTGATTTCCTATGGGTGGTTGTTATAAAGGGAACTACAAATTCTTGTTGAAATGTGCCTAATTATTAATAAGAAATAAAATAAACTCTTTTTACCGAGCTTTTCACCGTTACATTTCTTCTACCTCTGCTTTGATATTGCTTAGACCTTAAGCTCATTGCACAGTAAAAAGGGAGCTGTCACAAAAGAATTAACAAGAACCATTGAACCCCAGACCATGGGTGAAGACCATAAACTACAGTCAGTTCTTGTGAAGCGTGTTTTCATTACTTGCATGGAATAACAATAAAACATTGTATAGATAAAAGTAAAAGCATTCAGAACATTTTACATTGAGGTAGAATCCCACACTCTCCACCAATGAACACCTGGGGTGATGTGCAGCAGACATTCTGTCAGCAACCCTACATGTGGAGAACTGAAATTGTTTCATTACTTGAATTAAGAGTGGAGTTTTAACCAGGACACTAGATTAATACCCTTACTCTTACAAACCATTATGTATATGACTTTGGTTTAATGTCATATCCAAATGACAGCAAACTCCTCACTTTTTAGCAAACTGTAACCTGGCCTTTCTGTGGCCTTTCTTACCAGTGGTTTGCATCTTGTGGTGATCCCTCTGAGATTATGCTGGTGTATTCTTCTCTTTATGGTAGTCTTTGACACATCTATAGTAGTTCAGGTAGCTGCGTCAGGATGCATAGTCTGCAAAGGAACAAGTAATAGGTTTATTCCAATGCTGAAAAGAGAAGAGAGAAAATACAACGTTCAGGTGTGACACACCTGAAGAAGTCACAGCCAAAACGTTGTGTTTTTCGGTCTTCTCTTTTCAGCATGGAATAAACCCATTACTTGTTCCTTTTGACACATCTCTGCCTACACCCTGGAGAGTGTTCCTGATGTGTTCAACAGTCAAAAAGGTTTTTTTTTTGTCATGATTGAAAGTATTCTTCAGTCATCCACAACTGTGGTCTTCCGTGGTCTACTAGGTTGTTTGCTATTGCTGAGCTCACCAGTGCATTCTTGCTTCTAAACAATGTACCAAACACTTGATTTTGACACACCTTTGGATATGTCTCTGATTTATTCTGATTTTTCAGCCTCATGACTGCCTGCTTTAATGGCATTGACAATTCTTTGGTCCTCATGTTGAGAGACAACAGCAACAGACTCCAGTTGCAAATGCCACATCTAGAATCAACTCTAGACCTTTTGTTAGCTCTCTTGTGCGTGAACTAATGATGCAACAACACACAGCTGGCCAAGAAACAACTGAGCAGCCAATTGTCCAATTACTTTTGGTCCCCTAAAATGGGAGGACTGTGTATATAAAGGGCTGGGATTCCTATATGGTTCACCCAATATAGATGTAAATACCCTCAAATTAAAGCAGACATCCTGCACTTTAAACTCATAGTCACCGTTTCATTTCAAAGCCAATGTGCTGGAGTACAGAGCCAAAACAACATAAAATTGTGTCACTTTCCAAATATTTATGGACTGCACTGTGGGTGTGTTTCATGTGAAACATTTTAATTGCACACAGGTGGGCTCCATTCAACTAATTATATGACTTCTAAAGGCAAATGGAGTATTTAGGTGTTTAATAGGAGAGGGGGTGAATACTTATGCAAACACTTATTTTCTGTTTTATATCTGTAATTACTTTAGGAGGATCTGGAGAATTTTGTTTTCGCTTTGACATTATAGTACTGTAGTATTGTTGATCAATGGCAAATAAAATCCCAATTTAATACATTATGATCCCATGTTGTAACACAATACAATGTGACAAAGTCCAAGGGGGGTGAATACTTTTGATAACCACTGTATGAGTACAGTGTATACTGTATAACACAGTATACACGGAATGTAAGAAACAAAACTATTCATTATTTTGTATTGTTTCTTGTCATAGCAGACTTCAATGTAAAGTGTTTTACAATCAGTCATAGTTTCGTATTTGAATTTTCTTCAATTGAATTTTCGTTTATTGATACATGCAGTGTATGTGTAGAAGCTTTGGTGTGGAAAAATATCCTATTGCACTATATTCTGGCTGTTTGGGTGTGCCCACAAGGTGTCAGCATAGACTCGCATGCAAGCAACCCAAAACAATTTCGCGACAACCTCCAGACTTCGTTTTTCGAAATGTTTCCCCTTCATGCTTAGTTGCACGATTAAAACTGACATATTGTGTTGGCTTTCGCACATGTTTTCAGCAAACATGTATGATCCCTTTTTTACTTAAAAACATTTGTTATTTCAAAGGATTTGGAGTGCTTCATTTAACAACGGATTTTATATACCATTCTTAGTTTCCTGGGTTCGCTTGCTCCCGGGGCTCTGCTCATATTTTTTCAGGTTTTTCCGCTACAACAGAAGCCTGTTGACACGATCTCTGTATGTATAATTATGCAAAGTGCGTAACTACAAAAAATGACTAAATTAATTTTTGACGGACATAGTGTTTTAAAAGATGTGGGAAACGCAGTTTGTTTTCAATTCCCCTGTGACTCTGCATGCAGTATACTAGAATGAAGAGAGGAAAGCACGCTCCATTAATAATGAATAATGAACTCTGAATTCAAAGAATACATATGTTTACATTTACTACATTAAAATTACTTTCTGCAGGAAATTAGGCAACTTTTTAAGTTAAAAAGGACTTTTTTAAAATATAAATTATTGGATCTAGAATAGATACGTTTATGAATTTTAATTATATTTTATTTAAAATGGAAATGGTTCTTTTTGGGATGAGGGATTGCTCAAATAATTGAGTCAGGGACACCAGTAGATTCTGACACATTTGCAAGGCAATTTTGACATGCGACCTGTTGGCACAGTTTCAGGAATGTCAGCTGGACAGCCATATGTGAAGCTGGGTTTCCTCTCCCTTCCTTTCCCAAGTGAGGAAGGTGATGTGTACAGCCTGGGAGAGACTGTGCAAGCCTTCAGCCTGCCCTCAGCCCTAGGCCACAACAGGAGCAGGAAGGGGGCTATTAACTATAAAACTGAACAAGCTATAGCTTCCTCTGGGACTGCCTGTTTTCTGAAGAGCAGGAACTGTAGCCAGGACCCCGCTGCAATAAAACACTTTGACAGACCAGTGTCAGAGAGGAAGACAAATCATCAGTGAATTGCACAAACACTCCTCTGTCCATCCCACCTCCCCCCCAACACCCCCCGGCAACCCCACCCCATCCCAACCTGAGCCCCCAACACAACAGCAAATGTTTGGCTCTCATCAGATCCCAAAGTATCACCCCCTCCCTCCAAATCCTCTGGAGGGGTACTGTGGCTTACATTTCACCCTGTTATTAAAGCAGAGGCGAACTGCAAAAAGCAGGATTTTTTTGTGCCTGCCAGTCACATCAGGAAGAAGGATGCATTTCAATAAATTGAACCATAATTAAAGACACTGGTTTCCATCTGGTCAAACGCTTTGCAGTGTCCCCAGAAATGCGATCACTGCAAAAAGAGGTAATCTAACAGAACTCACAGCACAGAGAATTCTTCTGGGTCTGGCTCGTGCTTGTGGCCTGGCTATAGAAGACGTTTCGGGATCCCAGTGTTTTTAATTGAAAAATTGTGCTGCGTGGACACATTTTTTTAATGTCCAACTGTTAAATCATTCCACTTGTATATTACTTTTTCAAGTCCCCTTTACATTTCACTACAGCGCGCCTTCTGAATATCGCAAATGGCGGGAGCAAATAGGACGTTTTAACACAAGCAAATGTCTAAAAGTAACTTTAAAAAATAAGCCATAACGTTTTATACTGTTTTGGTTCATGAATCCCTATATATAATATAATATGTGATAGACATGAGTTATTATTACATACTGAGTTAGTGAATCAACCTGCATGCAAAGTTATTCCTTTTGGTATACATTCATATAGCAGGAGATTATAATTTCACTGGGGTAATGTCAGTGAATTATTTGCTAAATGGTGCAACACAGTCTCTCACCCAGGATTCAGTCGCCTACAACCTTCCTAATTCAAGTCCAGAGCTTTAAACACTACTCACCCTTTAGGAGTAGCTTGCTATCATTTAAGAGACTGGGAACAGATTACTACATTGTGAGGTTTCCTGGCTGTTTATCACTTAAACATCTGGGTAGTTTGGGGACCAGGTGAAACTCATTTACAGACCAGCTCAGACAACTCCACCCCGGCAGGTCTGTGAGAGCTCTCATCTACTGGATCAAGAACAGTCCTTCTGGATGCTGTCCAGTTCTTACAGCTTGTGTCAATGGCTTGTCGACACAAAGAGCTTTGTCATCCTGCATCCTGCTTACTCACACTCTACCATAGTGCTTACGTGAAAATATTGTGGAGATGTAATCAGGAAACATGCAGGACACACAGGAATGGAAAATGCTTCCATGTGCAATGGTTCCTTTGTCTTAGCTTCTTAGGAAGGTAATTTCCTTGTCCATTCCTGGACATGGATAGCACTTAAACATGCATTAGTTTCTGTTGACGAAATCTCATTATGGGTCAGATAGTACCTTGAAAAAAGCTTTAAAGGGTAAAGAGCTTGGGAAAAAAAACACATGCTCGCATTTGGTAATACGTTTCAGTAATTGGATTTTTTCATAAAGAAAGCAGCAATATCACCCTGCAGCTCACAACTGACAACCCTCTGAAGCTAAGCAGGTGTGAGCCTGGACAGTACCTGGATGTGAGACCTCCTAGGAAAAACTAAGGTTGCTGCTGGAAGAGGTGTTAGTGGGATCAGCAAGGGGTGCTCAACCTGCAGTCTGTGTGGGTCCTAATGCCCCAGTATGTCTAGTGTCCCCAGTAGTGATGGGGACACTAGACTGTAAAATAGGTGCTGTCCTTCGTATGAGACTTAAAACTGAGGTCCTGACTCTCTGTGGTCATTAAAAATACCAGGGTTTTTCTCAAAAAGAGTAGGGGTGTTACCCTGGTGTCCTGGCCAAATTTCTCCCTGGCCTCCTAGTAAGTCATGGCCTCCTAGTAATCCCAATCTTTGAGCTTGCTTATTTGATCCGTTCTCCTCCCCACTGATAGCTGATGTGTGGTGATCGTACTGGCGCACTATGGCTGCCGTCACGTCAT